GGTGGTGTCAGCTCCGGATCTATCGGGGTGCCGGTGTTGTTTGCCTAATGCTAATCCGTACTGAACGACAGTGAAGAATGCGTTAATCTTACACATTGATGACGAAGCCCCCGCTGTCCATGTCGCCCAGCACCTCGATCAAGAAGTCGAGACATGAGTCGTCAAAGTCCGACAGATCCATGGTGGCGTCACTGTCTGTCGAGGTTGTGCTGGTACTCGAGCACGGGCTGGGCGGGTCGGAGGACGGTGCTCGTTGTAGCTCCTTCTGGAAGGATTTCTGCTGCTGTTCGTGCGGTTCCAAGGCTGGCAGAGAGATATTGATCTTGGACGGCGACGATAGTGGCGCGCGTAGTCGACTTGCGATTGTAGGGTCTACGTGGCCGGTGGGGTCTTTCCTGTCCTTTGCGAGCTGGCACAGCTGCACCATGTCCTCATCGAGGCGGTGCTCGGGCCGCACGAGCTTCTTGCGGTCCTTGCGCAGTCCGCGCAGGCGACGACCAACCTTCTCGTAGTACTTTTGAGCATGTGTTTGCACTTGGCGTGGCGAGCGCGTGCCCACGTAGGCAGCAATCTTCTTCCAGGGCCCGTGAGGGTAGAGCTTGAGGCCGTCCAGAAAGCGGTCGTGCTCCTCGCCAGACCATAACCCTCGCTCAATGGAACGGGTGCGGTTGGCGGGTTTCAACATTGGTTTGAGAAGGCTGAGTAGATCACGTGTCCGCAATACGAAGCAAATTCCGAACTGAGAGCGCTGTACCGCTTCTCTATGCAATGACAATGGTACTGTACCTATACAGTATCACAGTGTGATCCACTGCTGGATTATGTCCCGCTGGTGTTTACGGTAAATTTTACCGGTAGTCACCGTTTGCCGGCGCTTTTGTACATCGGGGGATCCATGCGAGACGCACATGAGGTGGGCGAATATCCAAGCGGTAGACGAGAGTCACACGCTGCGGCCGGTTGGACACGAACATCTTATCGTTGTCAAACCATCAACGATGTTGATTCACAACGACAGATGCAA